AAGATGCCTATTGTCTAAATATGTGAACATTGATACTATCAAGTTAGAATACTAATAGATTAAAAAATATTTTACAGACACACTTGATGCGTGCGGCATGCCAATTTTGTATAGTTTCATGGGTCATTTCGGTACACATTTGTCCCTGGGAGCACATCTGAATTTTCTTTGGATAAGCTTCTTGCAAACATCCAAGGAATTATATTGAAGTCCCACCTCCTTTTCCATCTTTCTTGAGGTCTTTCATTATTTCTCACCATATAATTCTAAATATTCTCTAGAAGCAATACAGTACTCTGTTGTATAGTAGCAAAAGTACCCAGCTTTGCAAAATAGCCATTCATTTGGCACCGTGAAGCCTTCAAGCAAGTTACACAGCTATCAAAGTTGGACACATATCTTCTGTAATACAGTAATGGAAGCAAGTGTTTAGGCTGAGGATAATTCTGAGTTACTTAAGATGTATGATCTAAGTGTAGATAAAGTCCATAAAGGCAAGCTGCACTACAGCTCTTTTTAGTAGAAATCTCTAAATTCCTTACTTCCTGATATTAAGCATGTGGTTTAACGTTGTGGGTGTCTTTTTTTAAAACTGTGACCAGCAGAGATGGAGTGTACGTGTGTCCCCAAACTATGCATGGCATGTAGATAAGCACTAACACATTGAAATCCATTAAGTTATCAATTAAGTTGATCATTTTCTTATGTAATTGGGCAATTTAATTAGTGCTCATCTTAAAACTTGGGGTCTTTGTATCAACTTTTCTTTAGTGATAAGTTAATCAGCCATGGGAGAATGAAGGAAAAGAAAGCTGTTACCAGGCAACAGAATCCTCAGTTAATTACATAAAAAACTGTTTCTCCTGCTTCAAGATTTGCATTGCCCAGCCAGATAAAGAATCTGACAGTAAAGAAAGGTAAAGGTAAAGATATGAGGTTATCAGGGAGGCAAAAAAAGAAAACATGAGATGGGTTGTTGGTTGCATGGGTAAGAAATTGGGTTTTCAAAAATCCGTGCAGCATTTCCTTCTTTCTAAAACTCAAAACTAAGAGAAAGCGTGAGGAGTAAAATCATGGATGAGAAAATCTGGTAAGGCTTTTAGTGTAATAATATAATGCAAATTTAAATGTCAATTTAAAGATCTCTTTTCAACACCAACATAATTTTATTAGTTTTTATTTAGCTTACTAACAATCAACGCATGACCATTTCCCATTAACTTTACAATTCCTGATGATATGTAAGGAAAGGTTGTAGCCCTATGCTGCAGACATGATGAAAGCTTACTTCTTTTTACCTCCTTGAAGTTGTCATTTGATGAAGCAGGAGAGCTTCCATGGCTGCCAATTTCAGGAACATGCTCACTAGATCTTAATCCATTTGCTCAAGGATGAATACAACCAATGCCGAGAGACACAATTTACCAATATGTGCATAAACAAATGATTTGGCAAACTAGCTGTCTGTCCTGTCCTGCCAAGTGATATGGACCCTCTTTTAACAATCCGTGCATCTCTGGATTTCTTCTCAGGTGCAAAAGAATACTAAGAGGTTCCCCACATAAGATATGGGAAAACAACACAGCTAATATTTTACCAAGTGGTTATATCCATCCTGTAGTAAAACTAATATTTGGCAATGGATATCTGAATTCACCACAGATTTCTTGAAACTCATTATTCACCCACATCATCATCATATTGTTTCATATAGATGAATATTCCTGGGGGAGAGGCTTCCCTGAAAACGTTATTCTTTTTTTAAAAAAAACCAAAAAACCAAAAGCCTCTTCTGGAGTTTTTCTTCTGCGGCTATTTTTGAAGCTAGGCCGATCCACTTTAAACAGAAATAGGTACTGTTGCACGAAAATCTATTTGTGCCCCACTAGGTCTTCCCTTGGTGAGGGAAAGGTGACAAGCCCCAAAACATGAGCAAGTGAGGTCATTCAAAGCTTTTTTTCCCCATTGATGAAAGGTACAAGCAGAGCAAGTATCAAGTGCAAAACTTTTATGACATTACATCAACGAATATATCTTTCTTAAAATAATACAGCAATCCAAGCAGTCCCCCTGTTTCAAACTTATCACCTTAAACTGACATCAGACCACATATACCACAACATTAAATCATTTACATCAAATCTGTAACATGGGTTGGATAATTGATCATGTTGACTTTTTTCCAAAACTTTTAAAACATTGGATTCTTCCAGCAGGTCCTTCTGCCTAACATTCATATTAAAACCAACACATTTCACTTTGTATCACATTTCTGTTCCATGTCCCAGAACAACATTGCAATGTTAGCAACCTTAGCTCTTGGTCAGGTTAAACCAGTGGTTGCCAACCTTGAGTCCCCTAATGTTCTATAACTAAAACACCCAGAAGCCTTCACTGCCAGCTGTGCTGGCCAGGATTTCTGGATTTGTAGTCCAATAACATTCTGGGTATCCAGGTTTGGGAGCCACTGTGTTAGATACAGACAGTATGCAATATTATAAAGGCCTTATGGATTCTCTTGGGAGACTTTTACACATTTAACTCGTTATATACCGTTGTCAGTCACCTCAGTACATTTTAGACTCTGACTAAATGGCGACAGAATATGGAGATGATTTAAACATGCTAAAAAGAACTCTTTGTATAAAGTGGACATGCAGGAGTTTTATTATAGTTTCTGTCCAATTACTTGGGTTTTCTTTTGCTTCCAGATTACTAGTGTCTTTAATGTTGTAAGGCTTGGTATGACAACAAAATAGTTTTCTCACTGAAGTTAATCAAAATTCCTCTGAGTTTAACAGACATTAAGTAAGTTAATGTTTGTTCTAATTAAATATTGCCTGTTGATCTCTTGCTTTATATTTGGTACAAAGTCTAAAAGCATCAGATCCAGCCTTTGCCCTCTCACATTACTGGGTGTATTGGAAGCACTAGAGAAAAAGAGACAAAAGCCATTTTTTTCTGAAAGAAATAAATTCTATCTAGCATGGCCAGTAATGTGGAAAATCAAAAATTTAAATTGTTCAGCAACTGAACAAGTTGGAAAGAGGCAGGATTTTTTCCCAGACATTCATCTGCCTATTTTTGCCTTTTATTGTGTTTGAGTCCACTTTGTGTTTTTCAGTCATTGCCATTGAACTCAACTTACTTCTGAGTAGACATGAAGAGGAGTACCTTATGACTGTTGCTTGACATATAGTATTCTCTCCCACAGGCAATTTGGACTTCCATATGTGGAAACGTATGTCCAGGGTTTGTACATCATAATATCTATACATCATCCTTTATTGGTTGAATGCATGTTGACTAACTATAGTCACCTTAATTCAATTGCAAACTGATTTGGGGGTGCTGCAGTGGAATTCATGATGATGGAACTCCAGTTTCGTTTAATGGGGGGGGAGAAATCACACACAAAAGAAAGTATTTAATAGACCCTCAATTTTACATGGGATAGATGTAACTATAATGCTTATCAGGAGTAGCTGATTCCATACGTGTTTGCAAGGAGTAATTTCTTTCTGTTGTCACAAAATCAATCCAGAAGTCTGCCTAAATTTAGCAAGCAGGGAATTAATGCACAGTACAGTTTGGAAGGGGTGTGTTCGAAGACATGATGCTTCCAGCTATCAAATTTTTTCAGATGAGGGAAGAAAGGTGTCAGATTGTGGGATAATCAAGGTTAAGGGATTTGGGATATTTGCTGTGGATATGTTGTATTAAGAAAGAAGATGACTGTGTTACTTGAGAAGCCTTTAAGGCTGAAAAGCAGTATAAAATAAACTTCTCTATACTTTTTATACTTGGTGTTCAATGAAGAAAAACAGCACATCTCTCATATTGTCAATACCAGGCTAATGTAGCCATTATTTTTGACAGATAGGTCTGCGTCTCACTGCACTTCCAGCCCATATTGGATCTTAGTGGGAAAACACATTTGAGCAAAGTGATTCTGAAGCATTTGGAACAAAGGACTTCCATTTATTGCTCCATGAAAAGGGAAACGTAGAGATTAGAGACATCCAGTATGTTCTCTGAAAATAAAGCACCCCCTGTCAAAATGACCCATCTCAGATATAAAAATGGAAAATAAATTGGTTCAGTACAATCCATGCCCTATGTATGCATTCCTAGAACTGGATGAAAGTTCTACATTATGCCTGCAATCCTGCTAACCCATGTAACCGGGAATAAACCCCATTGATCATAGTCTTAGGTAAATGTAGATGGAAGCCCATTCAAAACTACCGTGGTTTCGAGTAAGCATGAGGTTTGGACTTTAGGTTCTAGTGAAAAGCAAGAATACTGAAGGGTGGGTGGTGCCATTTGGTGGAGGGAGACAACAGATTCTGCATGTCATGAAAGCACAGCAACTTTAGTAACTCCTTTGTTAATATTGGCCAGAATCCTTTTAGGAGCGCACTGTGCAAGCCCCTAATTGGGTAACCGATGTGTGGACTTATGCCCACTGTTATGTGCTCTGACTCACGCCCAGCAGCTGCATTCTCAGTTATGTGCCCAATTCACTAGAGAGGGCATGGAACTGAAACTGCACAATCTTCCTTATCTGGGGGGTGCTTTGCTCTCTCTCTCTCTCTCTCTCTCTGTGTGTGTGTGTATGGGCAGAAGTGCTTGTGGATTTCCACCCTTTCATGTGTCTGTCCAAATAATTCAGCTAGCTTTAATGGGAGTGGAGAGGGACATTTGCTAACACCTCAGGCAGCAAAATGGGGAATTAACACACCAAGCTGGTTTCATTCCTGATTTATTAGTCCGCTTGGCTTTTCTAAATCTCCCCCCACCCACTCTTCCGCCTGGCCCCGTCTTTTCGTCGCGTTTCCTCTGCGGGAGGCAACCCAGCAGTGATATCCTTCTCTGGTAGGTTTACCCGCGCCTGCAAGAGCAGGCGAGGCACCGGCCTGAGGCCTAAAATCCAAGAGCGTGCCGGGCTGGGGCTCGGCCCTCGCCCAGGCGGGAGGCGGGGTTATCCGCGGCAAAGAAGAGGGCAGGCCCAGGGGCCGCCTTCCTCTCCAGGACGAAGTCCCGTTTGCAGAGAACGCAGAGTAACGGGGCAGCCGGCGGTCGTTCGGGATCCCTAGCGGGGAGGAAGCTTGACGGGTGAGCCCTGTGAGGTTAAAAGTGTGACACGGACCGTGAGGGCCTACTTCAGAAACTCGAGCTCTCCTCAGTCCCGCTTGTTTTTCCGTGAGGAAGAAGGCGGACGGGGCTGTAAAACAGCCGCGTTCCCTTCCTAGGGACCCGGGATGGCTTTGGACATGATTTAGGAGAGAGTTGCGAAGTTAGGCTGAAGTGTTTTTGCCTCCCTCCATTTCCCCGACTTCTTAATAATACACCTATTCGTCGTCTTGAAGCCTTTAACTGTCAGTTTTAAGAAATATTTTTCTACATGAGTGGGTTTTGGCATGATTAGCATTGGGGCCCATGCAAACTCGGCAAGGTTGCAGCAACGTGGCAAACGCTGTGTTGTGTATTTTTTATTTAAAAAATCCAGATAAATTAATGGGGAATTAAAAATAGTTATAATCATAGTACTGTACTAGTAACACAAGCTGTTCCAATAATAAGAGTGTAAGGATTTGAAACACGAAAGTAGTGTTTTATTAAAAGGGGGCAGAAGGGGTCTTTTGATCATGTCACCGATTATGGCCAAAGAGGTGATTAAAGTAATTCACACTAAGCAACTGCATTTATACAGCAGGTGAGTATGGATAAATATTTGCTAAGTGGTAATTTACTGTGGCATGCCACTTGGTAAAATGGAAAGCTGCCTCCCTTTACACCAGGATCAGGAATCAGACCCAGTGGAGTGGTCAGCATTTCTTCACTACTTGGCCAGGATTGACAGACAGCTTAGTAGTTTTATGCACACTGGTAGGTTATGACATTACAAATGTTAATCTGTATTACCTCCTGGAATATTAATACAGTAATACTGTAATTAGGAATAGGAATATATTACCTGCATTGTTCACCCTCCGTGACATCGAGTATCAATTCTAATACTTTAATTGAATGCTATATTTTCTCTGTTACTATTTAGTAGGATTCTTTTGTATAAAAAGTTACATGGTTTTATTATATTGTATAATTATTTACATTACTACATCAGATTTTGTCTATGTCCCTTTGGGTCCAACTTGTAATGTTTTGGTTACAGTATTACTGCGGAGAATGCCAAGATGCATCTTCACGTTCTGTTCTCAGCTTAAAGGGAAATGTGCTCATATATTTAACAATAACAGGGGCATGTAACAACACACGCACACACACAAAACCACAAGTTTATACATGTATTTGTGCTAACATACAGTCTGTATGCATATATACTGTATATGAAAAGGGGTATGCAAATTGCTGTGTTGAGGTTATACTTCCCAGAGTTTTCTAGGTAGTATGGTCATTTATTCAGTTTATTCCCAGAATTTCCCAGAGTTCTGGGAGTCATAATCCAAAAACATAAATCTGCTCATCTATAAGCTTGGCAGTGCTTATTGCCATGGTACATCATATAATTTTTCTCATAGATTTGAATCAGAAAAGTAACATTAGGGCTTTAGTGGCCTGCATGTCTTAATAACCCATTGTGTTTTATCCTGTTATGTAATTCTATGTGTATAGTTTTTGATGTTTTTCCCCCACATGGCAATAGCAGCACATGTTAATCAGCTGCAAGATAACCATCATATGTTGCTTCTCTGTTGTATTCCCAGTGTCAAGGTACAATCTGTGGAATGTCCAGAATAGCAGAATTTCCCTGGACATAGTGGGCATTGTTCAGCCCATACAGGGCAACTAGATAGGTGGCATTTGATAAACTGTAGTTGTTGATAATTACACTGCTTTAGAACTATAGAATCAATGACCATTTTTCTGTCCTGGAAAGCAATGACATTAGTAGGCTAGGCAGCTTTGTCACAGAATGCAAGATCTGTTTGCTGAGTTATGGACAAACACTGAGTCACATGAAGACAAATGGTAGCATGATGAACCAAGCTGCTTGCCATTATTAATGACTGGGCAAGTACATATCCATATGTCAATAATAGGTTATGCGTCAGGACCAAATGCTTCCATTCTAGCTAGCACATATTCAGTTTTAGTCATGGTAAGAGTTGAAAATGCAGAAAAATGGAAAAGTTACAACCTTGACTTCTTGATTGAATGCTGCCCTTGTGAATAACATTGGAAAGCCGGTGCCTGTAATAGACTAGATACCTACTGTTGTCATATACACAGAGAGAGAGAGAGAGAGAGAGAGAACTAGGACTATGAAATCAAGAAACCAATGTATAAGAATCATAGAATCACAGAGTTGGAAGAGACCACAGGGGCCATCGAGTCCAACCTCCTGCCATGCAGGAACTCCATCAAAGCACTCCGACAGATGGTCAGCCAGCCTCTGCTTAAAAACCTCCAAAGAAGGAGACTCCACCACACTCTGAGGCAACATATTCCACTGCTGACCAGCTCTGACTGTCAGGATGTTCTTCCTGAGATTCAGGTGGAGTCTCTTTTCCTATAGTTTGAAACCATTGCTCCTTGTCCTAGTGTCAGTGGAAAACAAACCTGTCCCTTCCTGGACATGACATCCCTTCAGATATTTAAATATTGCTATCATGTCCCCTCTTAACCTTATTTTTGAAAGGCTAAACATTCCCAGTTCCCTAAGCTGCTCCTCATAAGACATGGCTTCCAGACCTTTGACCATTTTGGTTGCCCTCCTCTGGATACATTCCAGGTTGTCAACATCCTTCTTCAATTGAGGTCCCCAGAACGGGGCATTTATATGCCATAAATAAGACTAAGGAAACAAACATTCCCAAGGGCGAAAAATTCACATTTGAACAAAAACTTGTTTCAAATTTAAAACAAAATGGAATCGATACCCCCAAAGTTAGGAAATGGAGTCTACTGATTTGTGATCCTTATGCTGCTCAAAACATGGGCATATAGATGAGATGTTCTTGTACTTTAGCCATTGGTTCCCTGTAGGAAAAAAATGCTAAAACACAAGGTTGTGATACTGTGGCCCCCAGAAAAAAATGAAGACCATATCACCACCACCAAGCAAATTCTAAATAATGGGTATATTCATCTTTGTTTCCAACTGAAATAAACTTATGAGGTACAGTGGTCCTTCGACTTACAACCATAATCCGTTCCAGAAGATGGGCGTAACTTGAAATGGTCGTAAGTCGAAGCACCATTTCCCATAGGAATACATTGAAACCACATTAATCCGTTCCGGTCGGGGGAAAAAATAAACATAAAAATAAAACACTGCAAGCCCAATAGGAACATGCTGGGGCCGAAAAACAAACACACAAAAACAAAAACAGGCAGCCCCAGCAGAACGCTATGGGGCTGGGGAAAAAACACTCAATCTCCCCCACACACAGTCAGCCTCAGCGGAACACCATGGGGCTGGGAAAAAAAGACAAACCCCCCTACACAGCCAGCCCGTACGCCATGGGGCTGGGGGGGGAAGACAAATTGCCCCCACACTCAACCAGCCCAAATGCAATGGGCTGGGGGGGAAACACCAAAACACAAAAAACATCACAGCATAGAAACATAAACCCACCCAAACCCACCCTGCAAAACAAAGTAAACGTACTTACTCAAGAACAGAAAGCAGCACCAAGCAGTCCGAAGCCCTCGCTCAGAAGCAGAAGCAAATTTCTAACTGTAGGTGGCAACGAGGCTGCTTCTTTGTAGCTCTTTTGCCCCAGCAGTTAGAGAGTGTGCGTAGGAGGAGGTTTGGGACTGCCTTGTTTCTGCTTCTGGGAGCGTGTGTGTGTATGTGCAGGGAGGCTTTGGGCTGCCTGGTAAGGTAAGGTGCAGTTTTCTGCTTTTAAAAAACTGTTCTGGTTGTTTTTGGAGCATGGTTTTGAGCTGGGGGAGGGTTATGTTTCTGTGCTGTTATGGGTCTTGGTGGGGGTTTGCTTGTTTTTTTGTTTCCCCCCATTTCCGATGGGGTTTTTTGTTGCCTTTTGGAGTGTTTTTTCCCATTTCCGTTGGGTCTTGGGGGTTGTTTGTTTTTTGGTTTTTCCCCCCATTTCCCATGGGTCTTGGGGGGTTTGGTTGCTTTTTGGGTTTTTCCCCCATTTCCAATGGGTCCTGCATGTTTCCCTTGCTTTTTCCCTTTATTTTCTTTGCATTTCCGATCTGCCGCCTTTGTTTTCTGTGCATTTCCGATCTGCTCTGTTTGTTTTCTGTGCATTTCCAATGGGTCTTGTATGCTTGATTGCTTTTCTTCCCCCCCTTCAGCTGTAAGGGATTAATCGCATTTCCAATGAGTCATGCAGTGATTTTTTTCCCAGTGATTTTTTTCTTTGGCTGGAAGGAATTAATTGCATTTCAATGCATTCCTATGGGGAATGGTGCTTCGACTTTTGAGTTGTGCCCATCTTCTGAAACGGATTATGGTCATAAGTCGAGGCACCACTGTAATAAAATATGGCCACAACTGATAAGCATGGCATCCACTCTTTACTAAATAGCATACAATTCAAATAGTGATTTGAGTCCTAATAATAAAGCAACTACAGTGGTGCCTCGCACAGCGCGGTTAATCCGTTCTGGATTAACCCTCACTGTGTGAAACATCGCTCAACGGAAAGTAAAAAGCCATTGGAACGCATTAAACATGGTTTAATGTGTGCCAATTCGGCCAAATACTCACCGTTGTGCGATGTTCCGGGATGGCCGGCAGCCATTTTCGCGCCCTCCCCTCGCTTACCAAGGGCGCAAAAACGCTGCACCCGGCCATTTCGCCTGTTCCGGCAGCGTTTTCGCGCCCTCCCCTTGCTTACCAAAGGCACAAAAACGCTGCGCCCGGCCCTTTCGGCTGTTCCAGTGGCCATTTTGACGCCGCGGAACAGCTGATCGGCAGGTCGCAAAGCGAAGGACCTTCGCTTTGTGAATTTCCCGCTATCTAGGTGCCGTTTTGCGATCGCATTTGCGATCACAAAAACGGCATCGTTGCGCGGATTCGTCGCTCTACGGAGCGACCGTTGCGCGAGGCACCACTGTATTAACAGATTTAGCACAGCTTGAACTTGCTTTATTATTTGGGATAGTATTTCGAGGCAGTT